CTGGGAATATAGATGACTTGATGGCCGCTCCGCAAGCGCCTCATTGGGTGGTTTTTAGCCCATCTTCCTGGATAACTCGGGTGATAACAACCTGGACCGTTATTGATAATCTCCCGTTCAAGGATAAAAGAACAAGAGCAACAATCGCAGCCATAAGATTTTAATTCTAGATCATAGTCACTGTCATGCCGCGCCGGTGACCTCGGTATTGGGAAACAGCCTGAGGAACAAGAAGAATAGAAGATTCACGTTAGCACACGCATCTCATGCAGGGAAGATGTCCTATACATGAAAAATAGCCGTTTTTTTTTTCTAACTTCCAAATCTAGAGACAGACACTGTGGTCTTTAAAGTCATGACCGAGCCGGCGGTTGTCTTTCCTTTCGTTCTGCGACCTCGGTGATGGTTCTGCGCAAACACTTCCATTGGGTGCATCTGCTTTCAAGCCGGGGCAGTTTTTTTTTTTAGCCATAATTAAGTTCCTGGACAACTCAGTGGATGATGCCTGCCTGATCTTTTGAAGAACTGCGGCGTCATTGACAATCCCCCTTGGCCTAGAGATCAAGGAACAAAAACAACGATGATTGTAAACGTAAGGTCCAAGTCTGTCATTGTCGGCGCGGAAGAAGGAAGGAAATATCTGCAAAGAATGCTACGCCGGTGACCTCGGTCTCGGAAAACATGGAAACGTGTGTGGAGTTTGAATTTAGCACATATCGCATACAAAAACGTCATGCATGAATACTCTGAATTTCGAAAAACAGAACAATAGAACACATACATACACACACAGTTTATGTGTGGATGATACTTGGTTGATAACACTCAAAGGAGAAGATTGGCTACGTATGGACAGATGGGAGTTGAACAATCGCGATGACGTCCTGGTATTCCCAAGGTCACCGAGTCGGCTTAGGAAAAACACGAAGCACCTCATTGGGTGTCGTGGAGTTGACTTATTAAAATGATGTCCCGCCGGCTCTGATCTTTGTACGTATCGGTGCGCTTGATGGAGACCGACCAACTCGAATGATGTCCCGTCTTTACTAGATAGGCCTGGTAACAATCATCAACCACTCGAATACCTTGAAAAAATTAAGGTTTCGACATGTCAAATCACTCTGCCATAATGGACCTCCGAATACAGTCATATTGCTCGTCAGAATGTTGCGTACTTGGTGCCGTCTTATAAAAAAAAACACAATATCAGAAAAGAAAGTTTGGCTTTTACGGACTGTCCGCGCCAGGTACTCGGCATTTTGCATGTTTCCTGCTTTAGCTGCCGTGATTCGCGGGGCAGGACTTCAGAAAGTCAAAGATTGGCTACTAGGAATAGACGCTGGGGGTACGAAAATCACAATGGGGTTACTTACTTCTCCCTGGGGACCTCTTTTTTGGAGGCAACACATGTATCACTTGATGACCCTAGACAAGAGTATCGCAATCGCAGTGCGTGGGTTCCTCCCAACTTCACGGAGACTCACCGGCTCGAATGATGTCCTGCCTCGACTGGGACTGATAATAATCGATTATTACACTTAAAAATCAAGGTTTCAATTACTCTCGATCTGATAAGAATGGCTCTAATTGATGGGTGATAACAAACATCAAGCGCTCGTTGCCAGCCGCGGGGCTGGAATGCTCAACATGGCCAAAAAGTTGGCTTTTATTGAGCTTTCGCGCCGAGTGCTCCACGTTCAGTTTTATTTGTGCATCCTCGCCCCATTGGTCCGGGACTGAATTGATGTAGAAAATTGGCCACCAGACGATCATTCGTGGTGAAAAGACAAATGTAAGGTTTCACATCATCGCCAGATGAATGGAAATCTACAAACGCGACAATATTTTGGGGTTCCCTGGGACCTCCGTTTTTGAAAACAAAAATAAAACATGTGCGGGTTACACATTTCATTGGATATTCGGAGGATGCCCCATCTCCCGAGACCTGATGACAATCACCAGCTTAAGGTTACAATCATTGCCGGAATGGAAATCTTGTGATGCCACAAAGTTTGCATACGGGGGATTCAACCCGTTACACATCAGCCACAGTGCTAATCCCAATGGCAAACCACGAAAGCCATAACAACACCAAACGTGTCTTCTCGCGAGATGCATATACTCTGAGCTACATGGATCACCACGAAAACGGCGGCGGCACACGGCCATCTTTATGCCGTTGCACTGGCCGAGAAGCATCAAAAGACACCTAAAATGGAAGATGTAAATGAAACTAAGTAATACGCTACCCTTCCCTCATTCATCTATGTAGAAATTCCAAGGGAGCGTAACGTGCTCGGTATTACGATCAGGATTTTTCTGCGCCACAGCCACCACTCATTAATCAAGCGAGCTTGTCACGAAAACGTATACGAACTGTGAGCGGTCGCTATTTCGTGTTTGATGTTACGACCCTTGTATCTGTTCATGTTTGTCTAATATCTGACCAACTATTCTCAACTAGTCCCTCCCCTTGTGCGACGGGCTCACCGGTCCGGCCTGTACTATAACGTCATTATGGCTTGGCACGTTTTGTTCTCACCCTCGAAGATAAAACCTTGCGAAACCCTGGTATTGTGGTCTTCGGTAAAACGAGGTAACTGCGACCTAGTTTCACGGGAGGCCTGATGCTTTGGCGTAGTACTCCTGGACGTTAAACCCCTCTCGTCAAAGACTGCCGGAATTTCGGATCACACACGCGCCAAATTCAAGCTATCAGCAGATCGATGAGTTTGAGCCGTGGCTTCCTGGGTCTTGTTACCTCTGCTGTCAATCCTGCGATACGAAATCATCGCTGTGCACTCCGGGTCCAGCTGAAAATGGATTGCAGCCAGGGACGAAGTGGATCCTCCTTGGTAGACGCGATGGAAATTTGAAAATCAACTTATCAATATGGCCATCTGTTGCATATGGCGCTGACAATCTTCGGAACGCGTGAATGCGATCATTTCGAGAACGGACATCATACTGCAAGTAGAGGCGGGTTGTATGAATACCTACAAGTGTCTGCTATGTGTTTTCTCATGATGAGAAAGGTGTTTTAAGGCAAGGAAATCATGTTTCCATTCAACGTGTTTTGATCCCTGAGGTCAGACAATCAAGTAAAGTGAAGCACGTCGAAAGGACAAAATGTTTCTGTGTTTGGTGTATTGTGTCTGTCAAGATGCGAAACAGAATGGAGGTTCCAAATTGCTGGATGGCAAGTAGGACGTCGTGTATCTCATGTAACCGGCGATATGTGGACTGATCGATCTTCAGCCAGAATAAACATCGGCTCTGACTTGGATTTCCAGGTCGAGTTAGATTGCCGCGTTGGTAAAAGACTGGGAATGTCATTGCCCACGATGAAGGAGGGGCGCCCGGCTCTTCCCAGCTCACACGACTGACGAGGAAGATTTGTCTGGAGAAGTCTAAATTTCCATCGAAATGAGTTTGCCGAAGCATCCTGGTCCATATTCTCAATCTCGCGAGAGGTACGGCGAGTTCCAAAAGTAAACCTGATACAAGACTTGGGAGCTTCAGCGTCTGAGTTCCCGCCCGAACGGCGAAGGGTGCTAAACCGGAAGCTCAATGGGATCCCGTTAATTGGTTCCCACGTGCTATTCATCTGCTTTCCAAACTCGTTGCTGAGGTCTTTCGAAAATATTTTCTATGATCAGCGAGATAGAACGAAACCGGTCTCTTTCTTTTATGCGGGTCCGCGGTACTCTCTCCATATTCCTGCCATTACTCAAGTTGAACACTCTTCGTGACATGTTTACGTCACCTTCGATTATCGACTCTTCTGACCTTGGTGCTTGACCTACTCAAGTTGGCTAGCATAACCTCACGTGTCCGCAGAGTACACCCTCAGGCTCCAAATATGAAGAAGTGATGGGCTTATTAGTATGCCCAGTCCGGGTTCTAGCTTCGCCTGCTTAGCTTGTAATCTGACCTTCAAGTCGTTACTCTGTATATAAGGCCTCGCCCCTATCCTGCAGCGTGTCACGTTGTTCTTTTGAACATAAGCGGACCTTGCAGATATGCGTGCCGTACTTTCTTGCCTCAAGCGCTTGTTTTGCTTTCTCCATAAGCGTACAAAGACTACGCCGACCCCGCCCATCCATTCGTCTCTGGTGTCACTCAGCAGTGAATCAACACTTTCGTTCATTGCCCATAGTAACTCTAGTTCCAACACGCTGCACTCGCACCGCCAAATTCCTACCGATAGCAGTGTCAGCCAATCAGCCGTCTATGTTATCCATCTTCCCATCGTTGCTGGAGTTAGTGTTCCAAAATAAGGTCTCAACTGAATCCCAACCTCACATTTTGCAGCTCTGGTTCTAGTCGATGAACAGCCTCTTTTTCTGTCACCATGTTTTGGTGAGAGACTTCCTCATTCCCATCAAACACCGCTCAGCCTTGACAGCTCGTGTCGTGTTTTTCCCGTGAGCGCTCAGATGGGCTGTGAGCGGGTCCCCGGGACTCACTGCATCCATATCAGTTTTGTGTGATCGATTCACCGGCAGAACGTTTTGAGGCCCTTGATGTCACCATACCTGTAGAAAGATCGATGCTTCTTGCTCTTGACTTTCCTTGCCGCTTTACATGCATAACAATACGGCATACATTCCTTCTTCAACGTTTTATCCTCGGCAATCTCTTTCTGAAGCACACGAAGAGATCAATTTTTCAGTCTCGTTATGCTTGTGCATCAAATTTGGTGCTTACGCTCCATTCGAGAAGCATACTTTGCTACATGTGCCGTCGTAAAAGTTCAACTTCCATTGAATAAAGCTAATTCGATGAAGCTCACGTCACTGGCAGATTGGTTTAACCATCCAAATAGGCCAGGAGCGTCGGAGTGATGAGCTTCAGTCGCTACTGTCTTCCTTCCGCCTGTACTGATAATTTATGGTGCTGATGTTTACCTCTCTTTCCTGGCTAGTTGTGGGATTGAACAGTCGTGCGCCACAAAAGATATTGCGATCCAGAATTAACAATATATTTGATCAAAGGAAGCCGCTGTAGCGTAATGGTAGCGCGTTGCTTTCCTATTTCTTAGTAGGCAAAGGTTGCGGGTTCGATCCCCGTCAGTGGTTCTGATGAAAAGTATCCCATGTATTTTTCTCACTCGGCGTCACATGGCACGTGCCGGTTACTTTTTCGCGCGTTCAAGTGTGAGATACTGGCATTGACATGACTATCCATCCGACGCCTCCAAGATGCGCAGAAGACGTATCAACCCCAGAACATGATGAGAATCAGTACCTGCAACTCATCAAACGCGTCCTTGAAGCGGGCGACGTTCGACCAGACCGCACGGGAACTGGCACCATCTCGATCTTCGCTCCACCATCCATCCGCTTCTCTCTTGCCAATTCCACGTTTCCTTTACTCACCACAAAACGCACTTTCCATCGCGGTATTATTGAGGAACTCCTCTGGTTCATCCACGGCTCCACGGACTCAACACTTCTTTCGAAAAAGGGCGTCAAGATTTGGGATGGGAATGGTTCGCGCGCGTTCCTGGATAGCAGAGGACTGCAGCATCGTCGAGAGGGTGATTTGGGTCCCGTTTATGGGTTTCAGTGGCGGCACTTTGGCGCTGAATACGTAAATTGTGAGAAGGACTACGCGGGCGAAGGTGTTGATCAACTCAGGGAATGCATTAAGAAAATCAAGGAAAATCCAACGGATCGGAGGATTATCCTCAGTGCTTGGAATCCCAAAGGTATGCTATCGCTATTACAGGGGACTCGTGGGCGTTTCGATAAGCTCTTTCTAGATATTCCACAGATGGCCCTCCCACCGTGCCATATGATCTGCCAGTTCTACGTCCACCTTCCGCCAGCTGCAACACCAGAGGCCAAGCCGAAACTATCGTGTCTTATGTACCAGCGCTCCGCCGACCTAGGCCTTGGAATTCCATTCAACATAGCCTCGTACGCGCTGCTGACGCATATGATTGCACGCGTCACTGGGACCGACGCGCACGAGCTCATCATCCAACTAGGCGACGCGCACGTGTATAGAGACCATGTAGAGGCGCTGAAGGAGCAGCTCAAGAGGGAACCTAGACCATTCCCTAAGTTGCGATGGGCAAGGGAGGGGATAGAGGACATCGAGGACTTTACTTATAGCGATTTCATAATTGAGGGGTATGAGCCTCATCCTGCGATCGCGATGAAGATGAGTGTCTGATGGACGTACTATGTGGTTGATTTCTTTCATGTATCTCAGTGTTACACTGGCCGTTTTCACGACTTCAAAAATGACATTTGTATAAGGAAGTTCAAGTTGAAGCCGCAGGAAGTTGGACTCAGTAACGTCACGTGCGCTGGTGACGTCACCGACTCTGCACGTGGCTAGTGTTTCGAAACCATCGTCATGGTTGTTCTCCACGCAATGGACAACCTTACAGAACTTTTTGCCAAAGTACCTCCAGGATACAAGTGGCCTGTCGAATTCTGTGCATTCGTCACAGTCGTCGTGTGGGTTGCATCTCTCATTACCTCCAATGTTTCCCAAGTCGATCGTCTATGGACATTTCTACCATTCATCTACGCCGGCTATTATGCTCTTTTGCCCTTATGGCCTCAAGAGCCTTCATTTCTTCTGTGTCCATACACACCCAAGAGTCTTGGGTGGGCAACAGCCAGAGACTTCAGTCCAAGAGCAGTCTTAATGCTTGGGCTCGTCTTTTTGTGGATGATCAGGTACTTCATTCATGATATTGAGTCAGCTAGCTTCAATCAACATATCTCCAATATAGGTTGTCGTACAACACTCATAGACGCGGTCTCTTCAGGCTGTAAGGCCTCGTTCTTTGATTGTCTTGCATCTTGTCTTATGTTTCGTTAGGCAGGACGAAGATTACCGCTGGGCTGTCCTCCGCAGCAAAGTTCCGGCCTGGTTTTTCCAAGTCATTAACCTCACGTTCATTGCTGCGACTCAGAACGTTCTTCTACTTCTTCTGAGCTTTCCAATCAAAACCGCTTCAACTTTTCAGCCGCACACCCCTCTTGCCAAGTCGGATTACGTTCTCGCGGTGCTTGCGTTGGTTGATCTGGCATTTGAATTCACCGCAGACAATCAACAATGGGCTTTTCATCAATACAAGCATGCTTATCTGGCTGCTGAGAAGGGGAAGTCCAAAGTCGAAACATACGACAAGAGGAAACATTGGCTTGGCGCTCGTTTAAACTTCACCCCGTCAGATGCCAAACGTGGTTTTGTAACTCGCGGCCTCTGGGCCTATTCACGTCATCCCAATTTCCTATGCGAGCAAACATTCTGGGTGTGTTCATCTCTCCCCTGATCGAAGCCCTTTCTGAAAGAAGAAACGTTTACAGTGGATAATTACTCTGTTCCCACTTTTATCTCCCTTGAAGCCTGATCTCATTTCCACTTCCTTCCCGCTGCACCTCATACCCGCATTCTCCGATATTCTTCACAATTTTCCTTACGCCTTTTATCCCCTCCTATCCCATCTTTTTCAACCTCTTGCTGACCTCGCACCCGCCCTCGCGCTTTCCTTACTCTTCTACTCATCCACCCTCTTCACAGAGTCCATCAGCGCGGGAAAATACCCAAAGGAATATAAAGCGTATCAGGAACGAGTGGGTATGTTCAGCCCACTGCGTACGTGGGAGAAGGGACTTGTCCTTGCGTGGCGTGGGCGGAAGAAAGAGACTGATGACGTAGTATGGGGCGAGGGAGATAAGGAAAAGGAGGAGTGATAAGGATTCGATTTTGTCAAGTCAAAACCAAGTTTTTACGCCGCCAATGAAAGAAGCAAAAAACCAAATTGCAGCAAACAATCACGTGGGTACCTAGAGAGGAGGCGGCAGTGGAACCGCTTGTATTTTGCGGAACTTCCACTTCGACCGCCTCCCTCTAGGTAAGAATCCCCTTCTTACTATAGGCGGAACTTCCACTGATGAACGAGAGG